ACTTTACCTCGACTTGAGACCAACTCTAGTTGCAACCAGAGTCACGGAACGGATTAAGTTCATAATTAGAGGTACCACTGTACATAGTTTCACAATGAGACAGATCACCAGGCTCCATTCCAGGAAGTGCAAAAGTTCAAACCTATAAAGTTTTGTGTAATGCTGTGGTAATTTGATTTATCTGTTTATTCAAAGGAGATATGGTAGTATTTATTTATATTCAATATCCACTAAATGGTCCCTCTAAAAAATGCAATGCTGGAGCTGCCCATGAATGTATGCAATTCTATCACTCTATAGTATTTTTGTAAAAATTATTTTGTTATACATTCCATTTCATTTATCCCCTCATAATACTGCTGATGTAATTCTTGAGCCAAAAAGGAATAAGGAAACTGCAAGATTGCTTTAGCAGATCCAAAGCATTATTATTCCAGAATTAAAATAGAATTTCCATTTAGACTTCAATATATTTTGGAAAGCTATGCAGCACTTCCAAAAATAGGGCTTTTGAATACACAGAAGTTGAAACGTAGCCCTGATTGGCAACTCCTTGGAGCACCTCAAACTCTTCCAGGATAGTGATGAATTAGTTAATTTTCCTAGGAAATACTGCTGTCATAAACTAAAATATAAACAATTGAAGGGTAGGGAATTTAAGCAGGATTCTTTTTACGGTGACCAGCTAGCAGTGGCTCACAAGAAGCGAACTAAAGGATTGAAACTGCAAACATTTTTCTTTAATAAATGAAGTTTGTCCATAGCTCTCTGGTTATTCAAAGTCGACAAGGTGGTAACATGAAAAATGCTTCCTATTGTCTCACTCACCTAAAAAATGCCACAGATCAGGTCAAAGAATACACAAAGGCTGCAAGACTTGGTACGAAACTATTTGAAACAATATCTTAATTTTCCATGACTAATCAGCAAGCAGAGGACAAACTCCAGAGGAAATGATCTCATTGGAGTCCTGTTCCTGTAATTTTTATCAGTGAAAAGAAAGTTCAACCAATTGAGTAGAAAGATGACTTTTTCTTCCGTCAAGGGTGCCCTACCTTTGTTTATCGGGTGCCACCCTCAGCAAGTCGTTGCACTGCCCTTCCCTGGCGTTCATTCTCCCAGCTGCTCTTCTGGGGAGTTCAGGTGTTTCTTTTTGCTTCTCAAGTGATGCTTTTTCCTGCCTGCCAGAGTAGGCTTCCTCCCTGGGCCTGGCTGCTCCTCCCAGTGCTCTTTTTGCTGCCTGAGGCTCAAGGTAAGTGGCGGGGCCCCTGAATGCCTACCAGAGGCTCTCTTCTAAAAGCAGGATTGGTGTGCGTATGGCGGGAGGGTTACCTTGCCCCTAGAAAGACACACTACCTGACATGCTAGTTATTTTTTGCATTTGGAGTCAATTGGGTCAATCTGGAAAAACCACTCTGCCCGTGGACAGGGGAACTGCCCACTTTCATATTGCTCCTCGATGATAGAATTCTGATATTAACATCCGTTCCTGGTTTGTAAAAAATACATTTGG